AAGGAGATAGTTCAGATATGCATTAATTGTGGAGAATTTCACTGTTTTCCCATTTTCCCCAAAACACAAATGCCACAACCAACATGTTTTGTATTTGTTGTAGTCTGAGGTCAAACAGCAGTATGCCTGTCTTTGCTGGACCGAGTGTCTGTGGGATCAAATAACAATCATGTCTGCACAAGCATCAACAAACTGAGCCAAATAAGGCAAGAGTAAGGAGTTGCTTATTTTCCAAGCTTTATCAGAGAGGAGGTCACCAGTCTGAGACTTTTATAACTCCTTGTGTTGGCCAGCTGTCACCTATATATTTTCTGTGACTTATTAGGAATATAATCAAAATGTTTACAACTGCAATAAATGTTTATGTGTGTGCACAAACCTTTTTCAAAACATGCACAAAATATTTACACAGCTCCAAACCTATAAACTCACTCATATATATGCATTTCTTTTACATGCATTCATCAGCATCCATTCAAAGCTAAAAAATATCAATGGCCATTATTCGCTTATACAAGATATATTCTTCACCCCTTTTTTAATGTTTTTTAATGTCCCACTTTGCATATACTGCCGCATCTGCTTCTTCCTTTAGATTCAAGCCATACATTCAGTTTAACTTCAGACTGAGCAGAAGTAATATCCCCCCTGCAATGTCTTCATAGAGTGTATTCTAGTTGCTTCCTGTATGTCATCTGGAGATTAACGATTCATGCAGCATTGTGAGGCTGTAGCTGGTCATAGCAGAACAGGTCTATAAAAATGTATGACATTTGATGACCATTTCTTTAGAATGGAAAATCTAAATATGCAAAGGAACTAGTAGTTGTAAATGAATGAATGTAAATGAAAATCTAGCATTTAAATGAGAATACTCAAAGTACAAAATCGTAATCAAGTGTACATACTTGAGCACATGCACTTAATTTTCATCACTAAATGACCCATATAAACTGTTGATTGAATAAATCTTTTTCAACCACATTGCAACTTTTCTGCCATAATCAAGTGTGTCAAAGTTGTGCAGAGTGAACCCCCTCCACAAACACAAGGGGCAGTATTTTGACTCTTCAATTGAAAAGAAAAGAAACCTAGAGTCTCTGTTAGATTTACATCTGTGCAGTCGATTTCCTATTACACAACCCGGGCGAAGTAAGTTCAGTACCTGAGTGCATGCACTTCATTTCCATCACTACCAGGTCTTCCAGCGGGACGACATTTTTTTTATAAAACTGCGCCATCTTGTGGACTATTATGAGAGCTTGTAAACAAACGTAAATACTAAAGATCTTTGTGCTTTTTCAAATCAATGGCCACCATCTAGTCAGCACTTCCCCTCCCCCTTTCATCTGATGTGTGATATTCATCGAATATACCTCTAATGAAATGCATGATGGCTCAGCGATGGTCACATCTGAAATCAATCCCCCCCAAAGTAAACCCACTGGACTCGGCCTGTGCTGCAGCCACGCCGCTGGAGGTGGAGCCTCAGTCCCGGCTCCGCTCACATTGTTGTGTGTCTGCTCTCGACCCGTGTGATCGCCCGATCTGTGGGGGAAGAAATGCGAGAGCAGGGCCCCTGTTGAGGAAGTGACATGGTAACACCACGGTGCTTTCACCGCAGCGTCTGCCCGACTCTCCGCTCCCTGGACCGCGATGCCCCCGCAGCGAGTGTTCGCCCTGCCGCGGCAGCAGTCTCTGCTGCTTCCCGCCGTCATCAACCCGTTCGTGCAGGACACCAAACTGTCCAGAGCTGCCGTCATTAAAGTGAGTATGCTGCTGTGAGTGTGATGAGCATGTTGATAAGAGCGGGTGGAGAATGAAGACATCGATGTTTGGGGGGAAACACGTTGCGTTTGATGGTGTGAGAGATTACATTGCTGTGAGAACAGGGCCTGTAATCTGCTCCAACCAGCCTCCGACAATCCGCTTGTTATGCCTCGTTATATGCAACTCAAACAATAAGAGCCTTGTGTGTTTGTGTTTCTCTGAAGCTGAGCAGTGATGTGGATTTCCATACCGGTGCATGTTTCTGCTCTGTGTCATAACCCAGGGTGGAGTTCAATGTAACAGCACACTTCTCTTTAAGCTCTTCTGGCCCATATGCTCCTATTGATGGTGTATCTGTGTGTCATCCTCTTCTCCATACAGTGTGTCCTCCTGGGAATCTTCCTGGTCCCCATTCGCGCCATCCTGCTGTCCCTGGTTCTCATGGTGACATGGCCGGTGGCCATCATAATAACCTTCAAGCATCCTCTGAAAGGAGCAGTGGAGCCAATGACAGGCTGGCGACGGTAACTAGGATGCAAGCGCCACACTGTCTTTCTGCACCACAGCTTCCACAGAACTGCCCAGGTGTCAGAGGGCACCAGGTCCCACTGGTATCAAAGGCCATGTGGATATCAGACACTTGTTCCCTTAGTCCACAGCCATACTTCAAATCTCTCTCCGTACAAACATCAGTTCTAATCCCTGTCCACACTAAAGCCCAATTCATGTTTCTGTGTTAAAGCTACACCATAGCCTACACGTAGATGTGTACCCATACATCATACCCTGACATGCACCTCACGTAAAATGTAACTACACGCCAAAGCAACACGGACCACAAGAGCTGTGATTGGTGATTGAGTTGAAGGAACAAACACATCTTTCTTTTCTTCATTGCAGAACAAGTAATTGCTCTTCAACCTCTTTCAGCTCCAACTCCAAGATGATCCTCTTAGTAACACTCGCCATTGTTCTGAAATAAACAGGCGACAGGGAATTTGACGCCTCTGAATTTGCCGTGCGTACCTACAGCGAAGCTTCAACACAGACGTATGAATCAGCCTTAACACGCCTGAAAACACATATATCACGTGACCACTCACATACACTGACCATGCG